TGTTGAATGTACTGAAACAGGTAGGCATGTCGTAGTAATAATCTTTTGCCCATATTTTATTTATTTACTGAAATGCAATTTTACTAATAAAGAAGACGTTTAGACGTTATATTTGTGTTTTTTAAATCCCCCTAGCTTATTATTATGTTATATAAGAGTTAGGAGAACAGAGATAAAGAGTGGGAGAGATAATGTTATTAGTAATGCAGAGATCACTTCAAAACAAAGTGTTATATTTAGTATCCTGTCTGGCCTGACTGTTGTCCAAGAAAAATATATTGGCCTCTTTCATATCCTTTGCTATAAAAAAAGTAATTCTAGACCCAACAATACAATTAGTGATACGCCATACAGTTTAAGATAGTCCTAAATCAACAAGTCCCTGAAGACATCTTTACAGTCGCCTCAAGAAATAGATATTATATTGGGAATAATGCCTGTTCAATGCCGAGGTTAAATCATATTAAAAATTCTGTATTCCAAAATAAAAAGTCTGTTTAATCTTCTAACATACTGCATGTCTCAACTGTTTGCAATCTGCTGACTGTATATTTACTGTTGTATTTTCTCTTTTCCACCCCGTTTAAATGGCAGATTCTAAGCTTCAATAAAGACGCCTTTCCCTTTAAGAGCTGGATCAGCATTACACAAGCGGTCAGGTGCGCAGTTGCAGCAAACCAAGAATAAACTGATGTACATGAGTGAAAATGAAACTTGTAAACAAATGCTCTCCTTCCCTCTAGGTCACTCCCTATACTTTTCTATTGTACTCATTCTATTGACTTAGGTCTAAAGTAATTCAAACATTACACCTCTACTTTCAGGTATGGGTATAGGTGCACAAAATCTCACAGCTTACTTTCAAGGTAAAGTATAGGAAATAGTTGCACAGCAATAAATATTAAAAGAATGTATGGTTCAGACCAAACTGTTCTCTTCAAAACTATCTTTACAGATTGAGGTCTAAAAGCTCCAGTATGTGTAATATAGCATCTTTAGCATTTTGTTTTGCAGTGCCATCTCCTCATTTGCTGCTCCTGGAAGCTGGATTCAAATGGTGCAATAGAGTACTTTATGGCATCTAGCACCATTTGAAATCAGTGTTCTTGGGTCGGTGCTGACATCACATGGGACGGGAGACCTACAGTAAATGCTGTGGACTACTGATTCTACTGCAACATTTGTGATCCATGTCTTTGCATGTCTGATTTGCACAAGCTTTATAAATTGAATAAAAAATACTGATTCTTAAGTGCAACAAGTTCATGTAATTCCTCTACAATACTGCAGTACCACTGCAGGCAATATATCATAGGATCTCTGTTATAATAACATACCCAGTATCAAATAGTTTGTCATTGTGTTCTAAGCACCTGCAGTCGTCAGATATTTGTAGTTTGCACTATAGTTTTTAAAATGCCATGTATAAATATCAACTATGTGTAATAAATATCACGGAAATATGATGATATCCTTGTTAAATAATAGTTTCCTGGTTAAAATATTGGACATGAACACCCTCTCAAGTCAAAATTTGAATGAGATGAGCTCGTAATCACGACTTCAGAAGTGGGAAGTAGGAAATTTCCGATAGCATAAATCAATGATGTGAGCTTGGGAACTAAGTTACTTGTTTGAAAATGGAAAAGTTTGGAAAGTGATGGAAAGAGGGGGGGAGATATTATGGAAAGGGTGGGTGGAAAGAGGGAAGGTGGAAAGGGGAGTTCATATCATGGTTTACGAACAGTTCAAAAAGATATGATTCTAAAGAACAACGGAAATCGCTATTTAGAACGCCTTTGGAATCTTTTTTTATTCTTCGTGCCAAAAATGTATTACAGCAGCTGTAACTTATTAAATATCTTTACATTATTACCTGATACATTCATCTAGTAGTTAACCATGGACCTCCACTGCAGCACCAGAACCGTCTCAGAACCTCGCAAATAATACGCTTCTCCGTTTAATAAAATAAAAAGGTCAACAATGTAAGTGCAAAAATGACAACTGAATATTTTTTTTTTCCACCGTGGCACATGTGTGTATCTTAAATGACATTACTAGTCTACAGGTGGCGAAATTTGCCATTTATCGATTCATAATCTGCTTGTGGAACTGGTGACATCATCAACAAGCGCCTGACGCTCACTCGACACGTAACCGCACGTAACTCATTCACCGTTTCAATTATTCACCACTGGATGGCACTGTGTGACCTCAAAAGTGCATTATTATTGCCTACCTAACAGACAGACCGATCCAAAACTGAAACATGCGTGGAAACGGTTCTTCTCAATTTCTCCAGAGTCAGACGATCATAAGAGCTAATCTCCAAGTTACTCCACTCCGGGTTTGCCAACCGCCATTAAACCCTATAGAAGAAGTTACTCCACTCTGATCTAGCTCCCGATTCCTCAGACCTAATAATTTTCGATGAAATGAGAGAACGCTCAACAACTGGCTTTCAAGACCGACACACATTTAACTTTTGAACTTTGGATCACTTTCCCAACATCTGTAACTGATGCCAGTTGATTGCATTTAATGGTCTAACGCGTGGTTATATTAAAACCGGATGTATTCTGCTGTCTTGAGAGAGCGTGACACAGCTGATTGAACAACTGAGATCCCAGCAACTGTGAGAACCTCAGCATCGTGTGCTATTGTTAACTGCTGTCAAGTGAGCACCAATACCAAATTTCACTTTAAACAGACAGTCTTTTAGATATTTTATAAGTAGGCCTATCGTATTAAAATTGCTGTCCACAATTATGAGGGACATTGTGCTAAATGTGTTCTCGTTGTATGTTTGAGGCCCAGGAAATGTGCTGCATTCATCAATGTCAAATGCTAGAAGCTCTTTCCTTCAACAAGATAGCCTACTTCAAATAAATGAATAAAAAGGATGTGCATTTCCTTTCTGCCAGGAAGAGATATAGAGCAACACTATAAAAAAAAAAAGAACAATCAACAACAAATAACTCCTGAATCCCATAAAACCTGTTGCTTGTGAACAAAATGTCGACCATATGCATGAATCGGGCAACAGCAAGCATATTAAATGTCTTGTTTTTAGATGACCCTATAAATAAAACAGCCTACTGGTTTGAGTGGTCTGGTAAGAGCTGACGTATCCTTGTGGTTTTGTTTACCACAGCATGAGTAAATACACCTCCATTCAATATCCCTTCATTAATCTACAGCTAAGCATAGCCTACACCCTAAACACTGAATCATCTGCAGTCCTGCTTCATGTAGCCTTTCAGGAAGGTGACATACATTATATTAATTATACTACATTGATTTAATGGTTAATGGTTTCTCTGTAATTCTTCACTGCAGTCTCCTTACAGATGACCAACTGTTATTGGAAGTTGTGGACCCTCGACTGCAGTGTGAAATGATCCAGTGTAAATGAGGAGGCGTACTCAAACATTTAACAAAAGACCCGGGTTAGGCTACTATGAGATAAAAAAAAAATTTAAAACCACTGAGAAGTTTTAGCACTGATAATGGGTTCTTTCTTCCAAGTAAGACTGAGAATAAACCTACTGTATATGATCAGCAATGAATTTTACTAATTCAATTTGCCCCATTTCTTTCAGTGACACAAGAACTCAAGAAACCATTCTTTGCAGTTTGTGAAGGCACTTGTCCTGCTAACTGTTCTTAATGCAATTAGCGTGTTAGAAACCTTTTATTAGATTTGTAGTGGTGCTACATTCTTTTCAAAATGTTCACTGGGTTTCTATACTATAGCATTCTTATATTTATGTGATGTTTAATTCATTAAAATTGAATCAAAATAAAAAAATTATTAAAACAAAATGAATGAATTGAAACTAAATCCATAAAATGGTCCCATGATGGGAACCTGTCATCATTTACTCGCCCTCAAGTTCCAAACCTGTATGAATTTCTTTCTTCTGCTGAACACAAAAGAAGATATTTTGAAGAATGTTGGTAACCAAACAGTTGACTTCCATAGTATTTTTTAATTCTTCCATACTATGGAAGTCAATGGGGCCCGTCAACTCTTTGGTTACCAACATTCTTCAAAATATCTTCTTGTTGTTGTTCATACAGGTTTGGAACAACTTGAGGTTGAGTAAATGATGACAGAATTAGAATTTTTGGGTGAATGTCGGCTTTATGCTTCTATATGTAACCTTTTTTTAAGAGTTACCATCATATTGAACAAACTAAGGTTAGGGATTTAAAAAAATGACTAAGCCTATAGTTTTACACTTTAGCGTGTACTTCGACCCAATGTTTGTGCTACGCACAGCTTGAAGCGAGAAGCTTTTCTAAGCGATCTGACTTACAATTTAAAACCAGGAAACAATCAAATGGGAGGAAACAATTAGCAACCACATAACAACATCTTGTCCACCCAGTTTTCCACACTTGCCAAGCAGCAAGTTTTACTCTTCAACAGTTAAAACGTAAATGAATAAATAACATTTTATCGTTTTTTTATCAATGTCAGAAAAACTATTATTTTTTATAATTTGAAATCGAAATCTTGTTACAGCTTTTTGAGAACAACATTGAGACTTTCTTTGCTTTCGTGGGATTGGCTAAGGTCTCTGTATAGCACATTGTCTGAATGACTCTACAGTTGATGAAATATTTGACTTGAATAGCAGCAACTATCTCTGCCATTGTCCTGGTAACCACATTGTTGTTTGGTCTACTGCTGACGTAAAAGGACATGTTTGAAAGGGGAGTGCAACAATTATTATTACAGCTCACATCAAGAACGTCTGCTCATTCGGGATCAGGTTTCCTCACCATATGGTCACAGAAAACCTGATCCAGGCTGTGGTGCACTATCAATATCTCACTTTACAATGTCTGACTAAAACTGCACTTTTAAAAAGTGAAAAGACGTGAGTGGAAACATGAGCCTTTTGGGAGATCATTTTGGGTGGATACTTGACTACGAGATGGGGAAATTCTGAGGTCAGGATTTAATCATACTGAGAGGGAGAACACACTCAAGTATAAACATCTTTATTAACATATACAAAAATACCATCTTGTGTTTTCATCAATAACTGGAAGCAAAACATTATATAGCAATTATAAATAAATAAAATATCTAGTTTATAAAATACAACACTGAAGTTTAAAACTTCAACTTCAAGCAGTCCACTTGCAGGAACAGCGCTAGAACAAAGGAGCCGTCCGATTGTTTGCCCTGTGGTGGAGAGTCCAGAGAAAACACATTGAGGAAAATGAAACATCGCTGTTATTCAACACAAGAACACATTAAGAATAATTAATGGAGACTAGTTTGCAACTAATGCCAGAAAAAAAAACTCTCTACCTATGAGTGTATTAGTCTGAGATGAAGGCATTTGATTGTGACTGAACAACAAAAGAAACCCAATATTAAGCTTATGAAGATTTTGATGGGTAAATACCTTGGGTTTACAGACTTTGATTTAGCAATAACTCTTCTTTTGTCCTCTGGCCTTCTCCAGTATTGTATGAACTATGCACCATCATCAAACGAGGAGATAGAGTCATTATAATACATTATTTATTGGACACATTCATTTTTTGTTAATATTCAATTAGCCATCCGTTCTGCGTGCTGTTTGGATGTAATTAGTATCTGGTCAGACATGAACTCTGCCTAGTTATTTAGTCATTTTGTTAGCAGCACCAGCCCAATCTTTCCTTTGTGACAGCAGACCTTTTAAAGGTGCTCTATGTAACTTTTCTACTAAAATAAATCCTTTTTTTATTGCCTGTGTGTGAAGGGGTTGTAATCACACATTAAAATGATCCACTTGTCGAGTTTTGCTATTACCTCTGAAGGCCAGTATTCCTATTTCTATGTGAAGTCTCCGGGTCGGATTTACCGCGAAATCCAACGGATGTGACATGCATGCGCGCTCCCGAGCCTCTCTCCTTATATACAGTCTATTGTAGACGGTCAGGGAGTTAAGTCCGGTTAAAGGCGCACGTTTTTCGGCTTATATCTCAGTCAATCTTTGATCAATATTCCCAAGACTCTAATCGTTCGTAGTGCTGGACGGGGCCTTTCGAACGAGCCCACCCCCGAGGTCCAACTCGCCCGGCTCCCCGAGTTATAGCCGTTCGAAATCGGGGGTCCCAGCGAACGGCGATCCGGTAGGGGGCATCCCCGAGGCCCGCCACTCTAGCGTTCGGGCAAGGGTTCCCCTGGGACCTCCTCCCCCGAATTTGAGCTCTCTGGGTCTTTGCGTTCCAGAGATACGAGCGATTTTCTTCTGAGATCGTGACGTCACCGGCGTCCGCAATTTTGCAGCGCTCCCGATGGTTTTCTGCTAATATCTCCGCGAAAACACCACCAAAAACTATGGAACTTATATGGTTCTTTTCAGCTCGAGATGGTCCTCGGTGCTCGCCGAATCCGTCAAGTATTCGCCGAGATATTTGCGTAATAGACGGTATTGTCTATGAGTTCGAGCACGAGCGCTCTTGTAAAATTTGGTTGCAATCTGAAACATCACCACTAGAGGCCGCTAAAAGTTACGTAGAGCACCTTTAATTAAAATGTGTTTTTTTTTTTTTTTTACATTCTGCAGATCATTATGTGCCTAGACATACTGTAATGTTTGATGGTACATCAGCAATCATTTTCTTCTTGAGATTGAGGTTACTTGCCAATAGTTAGTGAGCCAACTTGACAATAGTTAATGAGCCAACCAACCTGGTGAGCATGCAGGGAAATCCCCCCAAAAATTAAGGGTGGACAGTTTAATGGACTTCCTTGAAACCTTGAACTTCTGTCAATGTACAACAGACACTAATTAATAATTGAGAATTTAAAGTGCCCCTATTATGCTATTTTAAAGGACCTAATTTTGCTTTGGAGGCCTCCTACAAAAGGTTTACATGCATCCAAGGTTAAAAAACACATTATTTTTCTCATAATATACATTGCAGCCTCAACTATTTTCTCTCAGTCTCTCAAATGGTTTGATGAAGGATTCAGTCTCTCAAAAAACTTTTTTTGCAGAGAGTTTACAATTCTCTGATTGGTCAGACGGCACAAGTCTGTTGTGATTGGTCAACTGCTTACAGCTCGTCAGAAACAAAAGCCCAATTACCATATCTGAGTTTCCGCACAGTGAAATGAACTGTAGCATTGCTGTCGATCAAACATCAATTCGAACCTGAGTCCTCATCTTTTGAAAGTGCGTGTAAAGTGGGTTTTCATCAACATGTCAACGGCACATAGCAGACTCTTCCAGGCCTCAGCTTACAGTGTTTGAGGGCGGGTCAAAGTAGACGTCGTTCATGGGCAGCCAACAAAGCTACAATTCCCTCAATAGTAACCCCTCTTTGACCAAGGCCATTAGAAATGTCAGACTCTCCCCCACCATCCAACAACCCTCCCCCACCCCCTCCCTCGTGGGAGACAATAACTCCATTTATCCTGCACTTTGATCTTTGGAACATTGCGGCCCTTTTACATTCACAAACAGCTATTTCATACATGAAAGGTAATATCCCAACAAAAAAAAACACATAATAGGGGCAATTTAAAAGTGAGCTGCAAATCAACTACAAATCCAGCACATGTCCACGCATGAAAAAACGTGAAAACACGCATCTAAGTGAAGCATTTTTTGTCCCCCCTTATCATAAACGAAGAGCATATGAAAAGATGGGATTCATGCAAGAGACAGCAAAAGAAAGCATCAGGTTAATGCATGTCTAAAGCAGCATGCAGTAGAAGCAGAGAGACCGTCTGTCATGCTTAGGTCAGCTGAGCTAGAAGGACTTTAAAGCATACGACAGATTAAAAGATATACTCACCCTCTCTGTTTATATTCACGATACGAACCTAAAATGATGAAAACAATGCCTGTGGACATTAAGAAAATATTAAAATATTATATTATAAAATATTAAACAGTGTCGTAAACAGTAAAAGGTGTATACACACTTTCGCTCAAAAGTATGGGGTCAGTAATATTTTTTTACGTTGTTGAAAGAAGTCTTTTATGATCACAAAGGCTGCATTTATTTGATCAAAAATGCAGTAAAAACTTTAATATTGTTTTCTATATTTTAATATTTTCAAATATAATGTATTCTTGTGATGTTAAAGCAACATTTTCAGCACCATTTCTCTAGTCTTTAGTCTCACAAGATCCTTCCTTAAGTGCTACTTAATATTTTTCTAGAAACCGTGATATATTTTTTCAGGATTATAAATAGAATGGTCAAAATAACAGCATTTTGAAACAGAAATCTTTTGTAACATTAAAAATGCATTACTGCACTTTTGATCAATTTAATGTGTCCTTGTTGAATAAAAGCATTCATTTCTTTCAACAAAAAAAAAAAAAATGCAATGACCCCAAACTTTTGAACAGTATATATAAAAATAAACATAATTTTATATAAAAGTCTATCGTTTAATCCAAATCATTCAGATGCTTACCGACAATTATAGGCACGGCAATCACAGAACCTGAAAGATCAACCGTTGTGTTATTAGAAATACATGAACAAAAGGAAATAAACATTTAATTGATATGTGGCCCTCGGTTACAGTAGTCATCACTCCTCTTACTTTAGACTTGAACAAGACAAAATAACTCATTCTCATCATTGACTGTTATTATATGGTGACATATGTTGCACGTCAAACACAGCTCTGACTTCAGTAACCGCATTTCTTTCCCTGAGGGGGGATGCATTCGGACATTTCATTCAGTAGCAGATGTATCATTGGCTTTAAAGGATGACTCACTCAGTAATTTAGAATTACGCTGTTCTTCATGTCTTCCTGCAATAAAATACATCAAATAACCATTACCGCATAACCATAACAAATGATCAGGAATCAGAATATAGAATGCCATATGGGCTGGACTTCTTACCATGTGAATGGGTGGTGGCTGTGGCTGTGACTGTTGCTGTTGTTGTGGTTTTGTTTGTGTTTGTGCTAGTGCTTGCTGTTGTCTGTGTTATGATGTCTGAAAGAAAATATCAGCATGTCATCATCTACTTTGCCACCTTCTTCAATACAACATTCCACATGTTGTAAACATCTCGGCAGTTCAGTTGATGGCAACATACAAAAAAGTATACTTCTCTGATTCATTTTATTAAGTAAAGTTCAAGCATATTTTTAAGTATGCTTTATGTAGTAAGCATACAGTACTAATATCAATGTACTTGTATTATTTCAGCCACCTCAACCTTGACATCAGCTCAGTTTGACACATTTTTCCAATAGAGAATGCAGCAGAGTTTCCCTTGGAATCAGCGCAGGAAACGCTGCAGATTCTGTACGGGTCTACTTATCACTCATTTCATGAATTCACACCTTGGGGAAAAAAAATCCCATCCATTTTAGCATTCAGAAGGTTAAGCTTACCTTGAACGCAGACAGGAAGGGCAGACCAGCCACTCTCTTCACACTCGGACGTAGCAAACCCTTCCATCCTGTAACCTGGCCAGCATTCAAACGTGGCTTTACTTTTATAAGAGTATGGAGGATTTCCTTCAGTCTGGTTACCGAACCTAATTTCAGGAACTTGACATTCAATTTCTGAGAATAGAAAGGAAACTGCATTTAAGTCGATAAAAATGTTTTCTGTAAAGCAGTAAATACTTGCAGAATGTAATATGCAAAATATAGTGATGAAACCACATAAGGACACACATCAGGGCATCTGGAACACTGTCGAATGCATGGAATGTCAGTAATGTTAAGTAGAGCCCAATAAAATGTCAAAACAAGATTCCAAAACGTTTTATAAACCAAGACTATAAAAGAATGTTTCTCTGGAAAGAAACATTTACAGAAAGATTTCTGTTTTAAACATTACTGAAATGTTTATCAGTTCTTCAATATCAGGTGTGCTAATAAATGGCTCAATTAACACCCATTAAACCACAACAGTGGAACAACAGTGTCAACTGGTGACGTGGGTTTTATTTTACTTTTTACATTTTAACAACCATTCAGTCTCAGGTCATAAACAGTAGCATTTTAAGTTTAATGAGTATATAGCCCAAAATCACATCAGAGATAAAAAATGACATTTCAGCTATTTAGATCTCAAAACAATATTGCATAGATATATTTGCATTTCAATGGTAATTAATAATAATTAATGTTTTAGTTCATATTAATATATTGACATATTGTAATAATAAATATGTACAAATATACATTTTTATTGTTAATCTAATTTGATGAGCCGAAAATAAATCTAGTAAAATTAATATAAAAAATTGATTCTGCATATTGGTTAGTGAACCTTTGCTCTTCTCCTCCCACTCTTTTTTTCTTTCTTTTTTTACTGCATACTCCATAGCACTGCTACACACAGCCACCTAATACCCCCAATCTGCCCTAGAAGGATACATCTACAGATCACATCCACATATACAACTAACATAATAACTTTAAAAAAAAATCCATAAATCATAAAAGGCCTGAAGGAACTGCTGAACAAGAAAAAGACGACCTTCAGGTATAGGTTACCTAGAGATGCAAGCTAAGGCAAACATAAATAAACAGGTAAGTAAGGGAACCAAACAATAAAATGCAATAAAGAGAAAGGGCAATGAAACTGTGTTGTGCAAGAAAAGCAAGATGAGTTGGGCAGGCTACTAGAGATGTTCCACCAGTCCTGACACGCATGCTTCCGCAACACCAGAGCAAGTGAGTCCAAATACATGCTCAGACTATTTAAGGGTCAGATTGAGGCACTATGGTAAGCATATTATAAGTGTTTACATTTTAGACCTGACGGGATGGTTTTCGTGGGAAATTGCGTACATACGTCACGTTTTTATTACTCATCAGATAAGTTGCCATATGTCGCTCTCTAACAGTTCATTGTAAAGCGTTACCTATTGTGAAGGGTCTTTTCATTATGGGTTGTTGTAGCGCTGGCTAATAGTGAATGGTTAATGAGCAGCAGGATAATCTCGCACTCTTTTTTTAGTTATGAGAAAAAAACATATTCAACCGCACAGTCACGCAGAGCCGAAGCACGACTAAAACAATGTACTTCTGCATAATACATGCAGTTTTGTTTTTTAAACACTAGAGGGCCAAAAGTTAGGGTGTTTCTCAAACGGAAGGCTGCATCCTACCGAGACTGCGTCCTTCCTAGTCCAGTCCTTCTGAGGCTTCTAGGCTAGAGTCTGCATTATTTTTGTCGTACATTTCATAATAAACTCAGACAAGCTCAGTACCATCCTTTTATTTTCATGAATTTAAATGTGTGCAAAGGATTGTGGGTGATTAAAGGCCACAAAGGATACATCCGATGCATCCTTCAAAACAGCTCATGCATTCCCTAGGAATCGAAGCCATGACCTTCGCGTCGCTAGCGCCATCCTCTACTGCTTGAGCGACAGGAATGCAGCAGTGTTGAGCATTTGATGATTGTGTGTGATTTTATGCGTGGAATATGCTGGAGTGAAAACTTGAATTCCAAAAACTAACCTATGCATTCTGGAGGTGGTGAATTATATTTCCAATTTCCCCCACATCTAATGAATCTGTTTCCAGAGAGGGTGTAGTTTTCATCGCAGGAATATTCAATGACATCATCAAACTCTGGAATCGTCCTGGGCATGGTGAAGTTTCCATGCTCAATTGGAGCTGGCTTAGCACACGTTATCACTATGAAAGACATGATGACAGAGGCTGTTACAACATCTCTGACTTTTTGTAAAGTTATTCTAGACAACATTGATGTTAATATTGAATGTGCATAAGGGTTATTATAGTTCACTAAAACTGAAACTATAAAAAACATTTTCCTTCCTCAAAATAAAATAAATGTTTAAAAAATTTAAAAAATAAATAAAATAAAAAGAATGCAAAGATGAGGACTCACATATACATTCAGACTTTCCGCTCCAGCCAGATACAAGACATTGCCTATGACTTGATCCTTCCAGGTCATATCTGGTTTCAAGACAAAAGAAATAAGTCGTTTGCTACATTTTGAGTGCAATATGGACAGCAGGGGCCGCAGCAGTTCTTACCCGCTCTCACATTTAGGTTGTATGAGGGAACCAAACAACGTTCCATCTGGGATGGAGTAGCTCATATGTGGTAAAACTTCAGGTAATCCACAGTCCATCTCTGAAATGGGTGCAAAAACAGAAGTTTACCACATATACCTTTCTGGACACCATTTTGTTTAGAGGGAACGGCCCAATTCAAAAATAAAAAATTAATTACTTTTACAGATTAATTCCACGGCACTCCAATTCCCATTCGTGCAGGTGGTTAAATTTGAACCTTCCTTTCTCTCCTGTCCTTTAGGACACTCCACAATTGCTTTGGAACCCTCTGGGAAATGATTCATCTGTATGGATTCCGTAGACAAGATAAATTTGCCATTCAAAACAGGAACCTGACAATCTGCTAAATAAACCACAGACACAAGATAGATGATCAACCAAAATACTTGATTTTAGTCATACGTTCAAAAGTTTAGGGTCAGTAAGACTTTTTTTTTTCTTTCAAATAAATAAATTATTTTATTTAGGACACTATGTCTGTTCAATTCAAATAAATGCTGTTCTTTTGAATCCTGAACAAAAAAACATATCATGGTTTACACACAACATTAAGCAGCACAGTTGTTTTGAACATTGATAATAATACGAAATGTATTTCTGAGCAGTAAATAAGCATATTAGAATGATTTCTGAAGGATTATCATTGTGGCACTGAAAACTGAAGTAATGGTGCTGAAAATTCAACTTTACTATCACAGGAAGAAATAGCAATTTAATGATTTTAAAATGCAATATGCCTAATATTTCACAATGTTACTGTATAGTATGAGAGACTTCTTTCAAAAATATAAACAATCTTACCAACCCCAAAATTAGGGCAGTAATGTTCCTTTTAATTGTATTTTAATTGTATTACAAAGCCTGAAAGCAGTATGCACTTGACAGTTGTATTGTGGCTCCACCTACAGGAAAGTTCGAAAAGAATGTAGTTTTATACCGTTATCAGAACGGGGTTTTTTTTCCACTTTATTAATTTTAGAGTTTCTGTCCAAAAAAAAAAAATCACATTTCAATCAAATTCAAACAAAAAGATCAACCAAATGACCGGGTTATCTCATGGTTTTGCAGTATCCGTTTTTTTTTTTTTTCACATAAAATCGTAATGAAAAGTATTAGGCTAGTGTTGTTATTATTTTTGTTTATGCTATTCAATTACATGCTAGGCTACTTTAGAAACACAAGTCTAACTACTTCAGAAACATCTCTTTAAAACTACACTGATAAGTTAATGTAGTTTAAACTTACATGGGTTTAAAAATAATACTCGTTTCATTTAAGTCACCGGTGAGGAAAAGCAACTTACCTTTCACCACAGAGAGCAGTGAAAACGGCAGCAGAAGCAGCGGCCAAGTCTTCACACATGTCATCGTCTCTTAAATAGATTTTTCTTTTTAAACAGTGAGTGAACACTTGTCGTGAATATACAACAACTGACAGAAAATTTAGCGGGCTGAAGGCATAAAGATTAAACAACAGGAAAGCACTACACGGACAAATATATTCCCCATGATAAGTTCACTGGTCACTTTCCCGGAGAATGAAATAAAACAGTTGACAAGGAAAAGGCGCTTCATAGATCCGCATGTACGAGCAAAACATTAGAAGGCAAGCAACCATAGAAACACGCCCATATGACGTCTAAATCCCCCCTCCTAAATCTCCTCCCCAGAGATTAAAATATCATTCAAATAAATGCTGTGTTACTCGCTATGAATACTTGCGTGCTTACTGTGCAGCTCAGTACACACTTTTAAACAAGTATGTATTTTTGACAGTGTGATATATTGGTTTTATTTGGCAACTATATGTAGGTCTATCTATGTACACAACCATTCAAAAGTTTGGGCCAGTAAGATTTTTTATTTAATTTTTTTTTAGAAATTAATATTTTTATTCAGCAAGGACGCATTAAATTGATCAAAAGTGATAGTAGAGACCGTTATATGTTGCAAAAAATATATATATTTGAAATAAATGCTTTTTGTTTGAAATTTATATTCATCAAAGAACATTTAAAAATAAACTTGAATGTTTTGGTATGTAGGCTATATGGGTACAAACAGAAAATATGCATGCACAGTACAGCCATACTGGAGAAATAGTAGTAGGATATTTTGAACATGCACGTTTTACATTGTGGATGACTTTGACATGTAAAACATGGCAAAAACATCTCCAAAAGCTGTGCATGAGCATGACTAAGAGTGTTTATTGAAAAAACATATAAATAAATGACTGCTGTTGCTATTGAACGCATGTATACGCCTATTTAAATAACAATAGTGTAAAAAATCAAATGAATCCAGTCTGGTGAGGTCTTGAAGGCAGTCTCCACTTTCCATACAGATTTAAATGGAATGTGTGAGTCATGTAAGGGTGTTCCCCAGCAAGAGTATGTGTGATTATGTTTGACACTGCCTAGTTACAAATTTGTTTTCCTCCTCTGTCCATTATGGTAACTATTTATCATATGTCTAATTGTTAACATCAGCATTATGACTTATTTTGTACTATTTTTGACATCTTTCTGTGTTTTGGGGATACATGGCTAACTTCAGTGTTTGTATTTCCATAGCAATCAAAACCACGGTTTATGTGGTTATATATTATGTTACATTTTCAACCACAAAAAAAGTTGAATGATTCAAACAGGGAACACCAGGCGCAGCTGAACCACTGCTGACCCTTCAGAAAAAAGCTCTGATCATCAATGTTAATATCTTTCCAGAAAGTCAAAGGAAAATAATACCAAGGAAAATGTGAAGCACACCCACGTATGGTCAATGTATTCGGCAGTGTTTTTTTCCCTCTTTTATCAGAGAATCTGAATGACCTCCTTTCCCTCAACTATTTGAAACGGCCAGAAAAGGGGTTAGGCATTCATAACAGACTCCAAATGTGCTCTCTGCTCTTATCTCAAAAACACGCACTCCACCCATTTTCTCCTCATCTGAGCAGGGAGATAAAACCTCATTCTGCCTTTCCTTATTTAAAGCAGAACCTGCTCTGTTTTTCATCAGCTTGTCCACATTAAGGTTCAAGGTGGGTGAAGTTCAAAAATGGAAAGTGGTTAGTTGTTCTTCCCATCGTTTCCTGAACACTGTAAAAAAAATTATTGTAATTTTAACTGTAAAAAAAATCTACAGTAAAAGATTTGTTAACAGTAAGGAAAACCTACTAGATATAACATTACGTGTAATTTTACAGTACTGTTAAATGTACTGTTTTGGGGATTAAAAAGAACAAATCATCTTATAATTTATAGTGAAAAGCCGTAAACTGACATTCCCAGAAGTCCATGTGTGACACTTCACATTGGATGGTTTTTCATTTTAATTCCTTATACTTCTTCTCAGTTTTCTTCTTGTTGTTGTTATCAGTTGGGTTTTATGTTTTATGACTCTTTCTCGTCTGCCCCAGATAGTTTGCCAACTGTTGCTTTTCTTTGATGTAATCGGTTGATATTAAGTGTGTGTTGAACTGAAAGTATTGGACTGTTTATGCCAAAAATTGAAAGTGCTTTGGTATACCTTTCGCTGACAGTTTAAAGGTGCAGTAAGCAATTTCTGAGAAACACTGTTGAAAGTGGATCAGACCGAGCAGCAAAACACACTTGTAGCCAATCACTCATGAGGGGGGAGGTGCCTGTGCTGCATAGTCGGAATTTTTTAAGGGCGGAGCTATCAAGATCTTTTTGGGTAGGGGCGTGTTTGTTTTGGTGATTTTAAATATCAAGAACGTTTCTCAGAATTCGCTTACTTTACCTTTAATTTGTTATTTCTTTTCTGTTATTTGAACTGTTTGGGGAAGTGGGTGCCATTTTCTTTGTATTTCATCTTTTTCTCCTGTTTTTTTTTTTTAAAGAAGCTGTTTTTCCTTTTATTTTTATTTTTATTATAGGTCATTTTAAAAGATTAAAATTCAGTAAGAACCTTTTTATTTATTATTTTGACCTTGCTCCCTCCTAAACCCTTTGTTTCCCTTACATGTTCTGTTTAAAAAATTTTGATAAATCTTTTTTTTTTGGTTGGCAGTGTTCTTTTTTTTAGAGCTGCGACTGGAGATGAAAAGTTCCCCACAGACTCTCTCTTCTTTTTGTTACATTGACCCTTAATCTTCCTGAAGGGAGTGTTCATTGCATTATTTTAGTGTAATGTTGCCATTGCGGAGAAGGTAAGGTAGGTAAGTAATGCATTACAGTATTGTGTTACTCCCTAAACCATACCTGTCAACACTCCCGTTTTTCCCGGGTTTCTCCCGTTTTTTAGCCCTATCTCCCGGACCCCTCCCGGTTTGTTATTTCTACCGGGAAACTCCCGTAATTTGCATGGCCCAAACTCCTTTATGAATAATCGGACCAATATGTTTGTCTAATGTTGACCAGTTGCCAGATCTTGTATTAAATGCATTATGTTCTCACAATTAGGGGTGTAACGGTACATGTATTCGTATTGAACCGTTTCGGTACGAGGCTTCCGGTTCGGTACGCATACAAACCGAACGATTCCTTGGACCGTTTTCCTGCCGACAAAATCCGCGCTGGCGCGACGGCGCGACCACCACAACGTTGGGCAACCAAGGGGGTAATCCATCGACCGGAAGTTGAAGCCGGCCAGGTGCCGCCATGTTGTAGCAAAACTTCACTTGCATTAGCATTTCCATTGACTCCCATTCATTTTGGCGTCACTTTGACAGCGAATAACTTTACATCTGAGGCGTTTAAAGACTCCATTTGTCCATTATTTATTTCTAAAGAAACACGACAATGTATAAAGGGGTCCATTACCTTCTATGTTACATTATGGCCCCGTAGAAACAGATTTTGTAAAAATAGGCTAACGATTGCGTCATAACCACTCGACTCTCTGTCGCGCTGTACAGAAATGACCGTACAGACAGGAGGAGAAGCTCGCAGGCAATCGGGGGGACGTCCCGTCAAGGGAGAAGCCCATAGATAATGAGTCCATAAAAGCAACGGAATACTCTTTGCTCAAGTTCCCCGTCTCTGCAAGATTAACGTTGGCAATTTTCACGCACAGCTACTAGAAGATTAACGTCTGTCAGACAGGTTGCTCACGTCATCAAGCTTAGTTTGAGTCGGTTTGAGTCTGCGCGTCAGGAACGGAAGTGCTCAAAAATCGCTAAAAATGGGCTTCAACTGTCTCAACTGAGTTCCAATGAGATGGCTCTGTCCACTTCTTATACTGTCTATGTGCGCAACATCAAATGGCTAACATAATGAAAGCAGAACGAAACTGCGCTACTCATTATATTGTGCTTCACGGATCGTTTATCAGTTCAGACCAGCAACATCTGTGCAGCGCCAGCCGATCTCGATCAAGCGACACTGTTACTACACAGCCCTAAGAGATCCAGTGAAGAAAACATTTGAATTCGCCTCTTAAGTAATAACATCGCTGCGAGATCAAGTGAGAAGCATTCAAATTTCTCCATTATTAACCGTAGATCTCTATTAGATCAAACAGCACTGACGTGGAAACCAGGAGAAACATTGTGCCGTGAATGATCTAGTTATAGGCTTTAAGTCCACAGATCAGCAACATTCACCATGGATTTAATATAGTAACACTACCTGTAACCATGGAAGTTTGGCTGAAATAGTGAAATGCTTTCAAGTAGGCCTACTTCACACATCTTTTCCCAGCACTTCAAAACTCAAATATTATCTAAATATTATATATATAAATATAGGCCTATATTTAAAAAAAAAATTAATGTGATGACCAAAACATTATTTGTTCATCCTTCAAAGATTACCCCCATTTATAAACCTGAAAGTTTCAAGATGTAGGAAAACAAACTTATTTAAAAATATTTTTTTCTTTTAATAACTAGGAAATTTCTCTGGCATTTCTTTCTTTTTGCTGTATCAAAAATGTATTGAACGTTACACCCCTACACACAATCCACACATCCCAGTTTCGCAGCATTTTGAAAACCAAATAAACAAGTAACTAATTGTGTTACTTAGTTACTTTTTACGTAAAGTAAACTGTGACTTTTTCTCACTCGGGCTGCGCTTGCTTGTTTTTTAACAAAATGTTTAACAAATTGAAAGGCCCTTTCACACCAAAATTTAAAAAAAAAATAAGCCTCGGCCTGAAGGACATGCAAAGTGAGATTAAATACAGTAAATGTGTGTAATTATTGCAGGTTTGCATAATATTCTGAGTTTGCATTTCACTGTTTTTATTCGAGGAACACTGAATCTGTTTTTGTGCAAGTGAGATGAGTAAATGCATGCTCTCATTTAGTTTAGATCTACAATAGCCATCATGTTCACACAGAGCACACAACACCTCTGCACTTACTCTTGATTTCTCTCAGCATGCGGGACAGGAGAGGTGTCAGCCAATAAATGGGGGAAAAAAGTCACTTGCCTTGTTGTTGTAACTTGCTGTTGTAGATTTAGTGAGGTAATGCATTACTTTCTAGTTACTTGAAAAAAGTAATCTGATTACGTTACTCACGTTAGTAATGCGTTATCCCCAACACTGGTTACCATGATGCCGTTTACCTCAGCTTGTACTTGTGATGAA